TCGTCACTGCCACAGCCGCAGGCGAGCCTCCTCTTTTAGTTTCTGATAGCGAGGAGCAACGGTGGGATTCCCATTCGGCTCGCGCCACCGGATAAATTGACTGCGCTCCTCGAGAGCGGAGTCGAGACTCGAGATCGTCCTGCGTCGACGGCCTCGTCCCCTCGGGAGCGCATTCGGTGCGCAATGCGTCGTCCGATACTTGCTGCATAGATGTTCCGAAAAAATTTCCAGTGGCGCAATTAATTTCCTTGTTTATTAGAGCTTTTGGCGGCAAGTGGACTTGGATAGACAGAACAACCATCCGACAAAACCACGCCCCGTCATTTTTTAATCGCATTTTCTTTTCACTCACAAATCCGCGCTCTGCCTAATTACCGTTGCCAAAAAAAAATCGCGAATGCTTTCCAATACCTAAAATTCTTCCGTGGATATAATTTTATCTCTCATCATTCTCTAAATGAATATCGGCTTACGGGCAATTGGTAATAATATAAAGCGCGCGCGTGCACGTCAATTTGGCATTATGTGTAAAAGGATGGGCATTATTTGTTTGACGTGCGTGATAAATTGCGCTAAGCTCAAATAATACTTGTAATCTACGATTGGATAGCGCAAAGTTACGAAGCCTCCGTTATTTAGCCATCCTTTTCGCACTTTATGCCGCGATTAAATAAAAAATATACGTGCCAGAGTGTTGCAGGACAACATTGCGGCCCTCGATTTAATTGCAAGAGTATATTATGTTGGGGCATAAAGTATCATCGTCGTCGTCGTCGTTGTCGTCGTCGTCGTCGTCGCTGCCAAAGTTTAATAATCGACAGAGAGAAAGGAATTATTGATAAGACTTGGGGAACTGGAATAATTCATACCTGCCCAATTGATGATAATATCGGACGATCGGTCATGTGGCTCGAACTCTAAAAAAATTCCTGCCCATTTTGTAAAAAGAGTGTCGTCGTTGGGACATTGGCCGCACAATGTGAAAGGCCAGCGTGTATGCGTCCGGCAGAATCGAAAAACAAGTGGAGAGAGCAGAGGGGAGGCGTCTCGTAGGCACTTTCGAACTACCGAACCGATGTAACGGCGCATTGACGCGCTTCTGGTTTCAGGAATCTGGCGCTGGGCATCGGCATCCAGAACTTCCCAGAGGGTCTCGCGGTCTCTTTGCCCCTGCAGGCGGCGGGCTTCAGCACCTTCAAGAGCTTCTGGTACGGGCAGCTCTCGGGGATGGTCGAGCCTTTGGCTGGAGTCCTGGGAGCAGCCTGCGTCACCCTCGCCGCACCGGTCCTGCCGTACGCCCTGGCCTTCGCCGCTGGCGCCATGATCTACGTCGTCATTGACGACATCGTACCCGAGGCACACCAGAGGTACAATTAATTGTGTTTGATATGCGCATGACCGCTTTTCCATTCGGCGGTCTACGATATTATGCGAAATTTTGCACTACGGGGGCTGCTATCCCGTTAGCGTTAACCTAATCGATATTTTTTTCACGTGACTTTAGTTACCGTAGGATGCCAACGTATTGGCATACACATGCACGTCGACAAATTGCACCGATATTAACGAACATTTGCACGCGCACGCGATAAAGATGAAAGGTAATAAAGCGAAGTGTGCTTAAGGGAATTAGAATGAGGACGAAGTTGAGTATTTACATATATTTAATTTTACTGAAATTGGCTTACGTAATAAAGCTTGCAATGCGCGTGTGTATCCGTGAGTGGCTGAGAAATACGACCTCGAGACCATTTAATTGATATAACTAGCGTTTTATATATCAATGCTAATAAACAGTTATTATAAAATTGTTTTCAATTACATTCGTTATTAAGTTCTAATCGAAATTTTCATATTACAATTAATTACGCCTGCGTGTGTATCAAATAATTTCAGCAAAATAATAATCTTTAAAGCATTGTAGAAGCATTGTCATTGTTATTACGAGCCCGCTTCAAAAACGGCAGATCGAAAGACAATTTTCATATTTATCGTATTATTTATTTTCGTGGCCGATTCCTATATCAAGGCCATCTCTAAAGTTATGCGCATAATGCAATATAAATAAATATTAACGATGATATATGCCCATCGCGGGCACACGCATACCAAAAACACACGTACATATAATTCTTAGCACGTTAAGAAGCACGGATATTCTAAGAGAGCTTGTAATAAACTTTCTCAAGCCGATAATTATGAATGAAATAAAGATTGAAGAATGCTTGGGTATCCAAAGTATATATGTACGGGAGGAATTTACGATTATTAAAATTTCAGTGGAAATATATCAGCATATCAATAATTAAACGCCAGGCATACAAGACTTTGAGCGTTGACAATATGCCGTCAGCGGGAGGAAACTGCCATCCATATTGCTTAAAGAACTTTCGGAAAGACGAAGAGAGAGAGAGAGAGAGAGAGAGCGATAGAGAGATAGAGAGAGAGAGAGCGATAGAGAGAGAGATAGAGAGAGAGAGAGAGAGAGAGAATATACCTGCTATATGGGGCGGGCAGTAAAATGATGGCTGTTTTAGATAAAAGCTCAATATATTTGACAGTTATAATAGAAACAAAACCGTCCATTAAAATTATGATTAATTCATAAACGCATAATAATCCCTCGAACAATTAAGACCGTAACTGCATAATTCAGCGTTATACTTCATGAAAATCAAGAACAATAACTCACTCGGTAAGCATAAAACTGCCTCAACAACCCTATGAAATCCCCGACAATTACTCCTGTACGATACACACAATAAGAATAGGAATAAAGAAATGTGCAACAAAGTTCGTGCAACGAGTTTAAAAGAAGATACGTGCAAATCCCTCCCCCCCCCCCCCCACCCCACGCACACCCATC